TATTTCATCTTTTTCTTATTGATACTAAATTTTCTTCCTTTTTCTTTTTCGTTTTGAAATTACAAAAATGAATGTTTGAAAATTTGGTAAAGATGGAAAAAAATTAAATGACGAAGAAAAAATTTCAAATATTTTTTTTTGAAACAAGAAAATGAGAAAACTTATCATTCATTTCTAATTAAAGACCTTTTGAGAGTTTTTTTTTTTTTTTTGATAATGCAAATGTTCACGCTTACTCATTTGAGCAATTAATTATTCTTCTGGTAGTAGTTTGGTTATAAAATATAACTATATAAAATATGAAAGGTTCCATTCCAATTTCTGTTCGCTTTTTTTTTTTTTTTTGAAATAATATTGAGTTAATGTAGCTAGGAATTTTAACAATTTTTGCATTTAATATAAATGGTGTTATGATATTTTAATTAATTTCTTATTTGATGTAATAAAAACTACCAGCTTGTCTTTTCTCAAATTTTTATTTAGTGCAAATATGAAAAAAATAATAAAATAAAAAGATAGAGAAAAGTATTTTCATTTAATCATACTATAAATTTTTCAAAAAGCTTCTTTGTCATTAATTTGATAAATAATTTTTTTCTATCATTTCATTTCATGATAAATATTTAAAGAGTAAATAGTGAAATGAAGGATATAAATATATATGTATGATTATCTGAAACGTTTCACATCATTTATCTTTACGTCAAATTTCTAGTTTGGTTCCACTAAAATACACTCACTCCTCTATTAATTCCATTTGAATTTAATTAATTTACCAATAAATAATAAGAAACAAGTAAATAATAAATAAATAAGTAAAAGATAAATACTACATTTGTATGTTCTTATATTCTTTTTTGAAAATATTGGAAAAGTTTTCACCAATGATTTTTCATTTATTCCAAAAATTATTAAAAACTTCAAAGTTTTCAAAAAAATTTCAAAGTTAAAAAGAACAATAGATTGCAAGAAAAAAAAGGAAAAAACTTATCTCTTAGTTTAATATTTGTTAAATAAAATTCTTTTTTTTCATCATTCACTTAATTATTTGTTTTTTTTTTTGACTTTAAAAGATAAGCAAATATAAATAATATTTAAATTTCTTTACAATTCAACAAATTTCTTTAATTTTCTTACTCCAAAAGGAATATTCTGCGAAGCGCTAATGTCATCCATAAAAATTTAATATCATTCAAATACTGGAAGCAATCACAAAGTCTTTCAGTATCTATCGAAAAAAGAAAAAAAAAAAACCTTTCGAAAAAGAAAATACTGGCATATTTAAATTGTTGAGAGAGAGAGAGAGAGAAGAAAGAAAAAACCTGCAATCAAAAAAAAGTGATTACAGGCTTCTTATTTTTCTTTTTTTTTTCCCCTCTCTCTCTCTCTCTCTCTCTTTCTCTTTCTCTCACTTTATCAGTATTAACGATTAATTATGATAGCTTCTTCATTGTTTAAAAATTTAATGTATTAATTATACATCGATGATAATAATATTAAGCTAAGAGAGACGATGATACATTGTGACAAGAAGAGATATATTGGGTAAATCGATGTAACGGGTAAAATGAATGTATCGGGTAAGTCGGGCAAGTATTAGAGGAAAATAGTAGAAAATATCAATGATAAAAGCGATGGATGATGATCTGTTCATTATTTCCAACTAACATTTTTGCCTTTCTTTTCTTTTTCACCGATTGTTTATTTGATTCATTGAATGTGAGCGCGCGCTTTCAATACCATTTGAAAAACGTTTCTTTTCTTTTCCTTTCCTTTCCTTTCCTTCGTTTTTGTCCTCTTTGATTAGCCCTTTGAAATGATCATTGTTTGCAGCAACGATCTGATTTTGACATGCAAAGAGTTGACAGGAAGATGGGTACTGTTTCATTTCTGATTGGTAAACTAAATATTATTTAATGTTCTTCCTCTTTCTATTCTTCTTACTGTTATTGTTATTGTTATTGTTGTTGTTGTTGTTGTTGTTGTTGATATTGTTATTGTTGCAAACTTTTCTACTTCAATTTTTACAAGTAATTTTCAGTTTAGATTTTCAGAAAAAACTAATTAATTATTATTGAATCGATTAGTTTATGGATCTTGATACTATGAAACATTATGAAACAGGTTAAGCTAATTTTTTTTTTCAACTAATATTATTGTTATTATTATTATTATTATTATTATTCGTCCCTCTCATTTATATATTTGTAATATTTTTGTAACTAATTTTTAAATGATAGTTTACAAATTGATTGCAAACATTTCGATTTTATTTCAAATTTAAATTTAGCCTTAAATTAATTAAAATAGATTCTTTTTGGATTAAATTCAATTTGTAAAATTTTAAAATGTATACTTCTCATCACCAATTTTGACTGTGCAGCAATTTTATTTAAAATGAAATCCGTTATAGAAATTTGTTGTAATAATATGATAATAAAATATGTTAATATTTAAGAAATAATTTTGAAATTTCATAAAAAAAAAGTCTTCAGAAAGTTGATAGGCCACAGTTAAAACTTCAGGTGATGGTAGTCTTGGACAATCATCTTTGCAACACCAACAGTTTAGTTCAGCAACTATCGCTATACGCGCTCAAAAGAAGATTCTTTCCAAAATAATTTCAAGGAATAATGCGAAATTATTTGTGGATGATGCTACTATCCGTTTATTTGATTATCTCTATCAAATCTTGAAAACAGCATACAACAAGATAATTGCTGAAAAGGTCTTAGCTTAATTAATTTCATAATCAACTTTCCATAAATTCTAATTCATAGATTTCATCATGATTGCTTGAAGTGATGCGTTTAAAATAGAACGGAAATGGGATAAGTCATTTATTTAAAGTTATATCTTTTAAGAAGTATTATATACTTTCATTATGTTTCTTAATTAAGAATAACTGATCGAAATTATAAAACAAAAGATAAATCCAGCGAAATAATTTAACGATTAACAAAGAAAATATAAACTTAAAACATATACAATATTGAAATAATGAACATGAATGAAAGATTATGGTAGTAATAATATAGTATGAGTTATAACTGTTTATAATAATTGAATTTATCTTTAGGTGGTGAAAAATATTATCAAACTTATCGTCAAATTGGGCGTAATACTGCGAAATGAACAGTTTACCGCAGAACAACAAAATCAACTGTCAAAGGTCCAACGACAAATGCGCCAACTTTGTCTCACAGTTATTTCATTTGGTAAAGTGGCATTCTCATACGACTATACATATTTAAATGCATTACTAAAGGAGACGTACCGTCGGTTACTGCCATTGGTGGAACAGATTCTTAGCGGTAAATCCAAACAACGCTTGGATATGATTTTTGAACATCTTTGTAAGGTAAATTTTTAAATCTTTATATACTTTACATAGATAAGTAAAAATATGTTTACTTCAAATGATATAATCAATGATATCAATAAAGCATTTTTATTTGTTAACTATTAAATCAAAATCATTGGTGAATTTATTAACAATCAATTGATATTACTAAACTTTAATTTAATTTATCGTTTATAAAGAATTCGGTATTGGATTCACTCTTTCGAGCAGATGGTCAACATTGGAAGCTTCTTCCAAAAGTTATAACAGATCTTGAAGTGCTCATTGACAGGAAAGAATTGTAATCCGAAAATGGGCAACTATTTAAACTCAGTGTGCTTATGCAAAAAAAGAAAAAAAACAGGTCATATCTTATTTTGTATTCTTCCATGTTCAATGTTAATGTTCTAAATTATGCTGAAGCATTTGGAATGTGATTTTTATTTTAAATCTTCCGAATTTCGATTTTTTCACTTATTTTATTCTTGCAATTCAAATGAAAAATTCCAAAAACCTGCAACAAAAATGCATTTCTATCCCGAATGTACCTTCATTCTAATGCCTGTATGTAATTTTTACATTATTTTTAAATGCATTTCTTAAATCATGTAAACTAGAATTGGGACAGGTTATAGGTGGCGTGGAAGATTTTAACTATGATTTCATTTGTTCATGATCAAATCGCTTTAAATAATAAACTCGACCAAAAATTGTTGTCCTCAATATTTTTGTATAGTTCTTACTGATGTTGTATCTTTACATTCGTGTGCAAATATCGCTTTTTCAGAGATTTGAATTATTTCTCACTGAATTATCGTTTTGTTTTATTAGTTCGAAATGATCCATAAATCATTTAGCAAAGTTCCCAGTCCCAAACATGCATAAAATGAAAGTACAAGCCTACATAATTAGCTACATTAAAAAACCTAGGAAAAAAAAAGCTGGTATACCCTTCGCTAATGGACTAACCATTATTCAAGTTCACCTTATCACGAAAAGTCTCATTAAGCGTACTAATCGAATATAACAAATTCTATCTTTCGCTCTTTGATTGAGAAAACCTCGCAGATATAGAGAAAAGATGGGGGAACCTCTACCTCAATTTCGGGCAAATTCGCGCCACAATCTCAAACCTTCTAAGAAAATGAATGATGAAACAAAGCTCTCCTGTCCTGAAGATAACTGTTAGTGTGTTAACTCAAGATTGTTTTAAAATTATTTAAAATTTTGAAATTAAAATAACAATAAGAAACAGTAAATAAGGTCTCAGATTACAGTGAAATTGTAAACCATACCAACGAACAGTTTAAAACATAAAAACTAAAGATAACAGTAAGACAGCTTTTAATCCACAGCATCCTCTGCAAAAGTAAAAATAAAAATGCTAAAACTTCATTAGATTACTCAATAATTAAATTACTGAATCACATAAAAAAATCGATGTGACTCGAAAGCAACATAATTGTATTCAAACTTGCAGAAAGAATAAAAACATTTAAAAAGAACTGCACAGCAAATTAACCAAACTCTTTGTCATATTACCAAATTAAACAAATACTGAGTTTTGAAAACATGCACACAAATTTTTAACCAAAATAATTGGCAATTTGTGAGAGACATAGATTTGATTGCAAGTATATTCATAAATAAAGCATGCTTACGATGAAATATATTCAACGATGCAGATTCTATCTTCACGAATTTGCAGTATTCGAATTCGGAATGAATGGTGTTCACATGAAACGGCATCCTTCAAATTTGTTATAAATTCGTCTTCAGTTTCCGCAGAATTCGAAACAGTTGATGAGACAAGCGAATTGAAAAGCATGCAAGGGATTGCCATTCCTGGATAGGTACGAGCGACATCAGACTAAAATGAGTACAAATCTTAGTAATAGTTTCCCTAGATCGATAAAAAGTTTTAATATTATTATTATATAGTGTAAGTATATAAACAATAAGTTCTGGAAATCATAACTTGTAGTCAATGCATTACAACCTACAGCGATGTGACTATAAGTCAGACATACTCCAACAGTGATATTCCAAAGTTTTCCAACAAAAAGTCGTTGATTAGCATTTATTAGTTACTTACACGAATGGATTACAAAGTAAACTACTAAAAATATCTGAAATATCTACCAGATTAAAAATCGACATTTGATCGTCTCTGTTCACTGTTTCATAATTGCCATAATCAACATAATGAACTTCAATGCCAATATTATTTATGTTTGTTATGACTGCTCGAAACAATGAATCAAATGTACGACAAAATGATACACATAAGGTACCCACTTGCTGAAAAATGCGGGACACTTCATATACAGGACCAGTTGTTATATGCAGTTTAGAATATCTCTTGATAATATCTAATTTCACATCCTTCAGCATGCTACGTAAAATGAACTAATTAGCGAAACAACAATTTTACATTTGGATATCATGGTGTCGTCAAAATAAATTGGATTTCCAAAATAAAAATAGAATAGAAGCAAACATCATGACCGAAATTGCAACTATTTTTATTTCTCACGAATTCATCTACTTATTGTCCCCAACCTATGCAAGTCATTAAAAGTGGTAAGTCACCATTTTCGAGCATTATCATGAATAAAATAGCACTTATAGGAAAGTTGTTAGCAATGGATCTAACAAAACCTAAAAACCCAATTAAATCTTCTAAAATTAATACACTATGAACCAATTACCAATTCTTCTTCACTAATTAAAGAAGTTGGTTGCAGTGAATCAAGTTGTTCTTCCAAAACATCAAGCAAATCATCATGCTGAATCTGTACGAAGAACAATGGTCAGTTCTCATTGTCATGATCATCATCACTTCTTTTCACTAATACTTCATCACCCTCACTCACTTTCACATACTCAAAGAAAGCCTGGAATGAGTGTGCCAAAAGTTTCGATGTTTTATTTTATAATGAAGATCGTGAAGTAAACTGAAGGAAAAAATGACTGTCAGTTGTTTTCAAGGCGATGAGTAATCCAACAAAAAGTGCAAAAGAAACAGTAAAACCTGATAAATTGGAGCACGTTTTCTCAACCGTATAAAAGAGGTTACTGGCTCATTCATGTCCAAAGCAATCTTCTTTTCTAATAAATTAGCAGTGACACTGGTCTGCAAATACTTGTCTACAAAAATATCTAGTAGTTTTGGAGTCTAGAGTTCCCCTATTACTTCAAATATAAGTGTAAACTAACTTTGTTCTCAACAACAATAACATCTTCATCACCATTATTGCTTGTGATAAGCGAGCATCTTGCCTCATCGTAGGAAATTTCGTCTGCTAATGATTCATCGGAAGTATACAACAATTTACCTTTACGGTTGCGGAGTTTCCGTACATAAAAGGTTCTGAAATTTTCTGAAAATTATGTGTACAACATATAAATAAAACGCAAAAGTAATGCACAGAAAGCATTGTTTCTGATGAATTATAAAAAAAACACTTTACATACTTTAATTCTACTAATTTAATAATTATAGCTATCATAAAGAAACTAATCTCTCTCTCTCTCTCTTGTTTCACTTCTTCGAAATGCACAGAACAATGAAAAGAAATATAAAATGAGAGTTACTACATTATAATATACAGTTCTTCTTTAAACTATAGCTGACGATTGGTAAAATTATGGACTGGTAAAATCTAGAAACCTTATTTGTGGATGGACCATCTTCGCGATACTCATTACGTTGGTATTTCGTAACCATGTTGGCACTGTTTTTCGATGGACATTTGCCCATTTGCATATGAGAATTGGTCCTTTTATTTTTAACTTATTACCATTTAACTGTTTGTATCCAAACTTGTCATATTGATTTTGAATACGTCCAGCATACTCTGAAGTAAATTTGATGGTATTACAGCACTAGATTAACTTTTAAAGTCTCAGGTGTGTCCTTTAACACTTTCAGGTATGATAAAAGAGATCATTACTACTCTCCTGGGGCCCACAGGCCTTAATATTACTGAGAATTATCCAGAAAAGCTAATCTACTGTCTCATTTTTGTGGTGAAATTATTTTACTTACCTCTATTTCGATTTTCATGGCCAAAAGGGTACTGCGGCGGCACGGCAACAGGATTACTGATATTAGAGAAGAAATTATATTTCTTGACTTTGCACACCGATCTGAATAAAGTCGCTTTATACTTTGCAAATTTCTTGACTGCCGCAGAACAGCTCTATAATTCTAATTTTCTTCAGTATAATCAAGTATCGTTATCATAGTAATCATAGTATCTAGTTTCGTTCAAACAAAGCAATCATATAGTATTCACTAAAAGTTAGCAAGGCATATAAATCAAAAACACATACCCAAAGGAAGTTGACTGTTTCCCATAATATGATGTGCTCTAAACTTCCTCAAGTTATTTCGATTTTTAATTGTGCTAATCCCATTTTGACGTATTCCCTTTAAAATTAAATCCTTACGTGTCATTAATACTCCAATTTCTAATACTCCACTTGTTGAACCGATAATTTCACTATAACTTATTACATTTTGATTCGTTGGGAAAAGTAAAACAGAGGGTCCCCTTATCACTAAAACGAGAAAGTGTTTCGTTCATTATAGAATAAAGCATGAAGAAAAATTCCTTTAAAAGAGAAACCGTTATTGTTTCCACTCCTCCGTGCAAGTTGTAGCTAGATTCTGGAATTCCTGAACCACTCGATGGTCCAGCAAATCTGAAAGACTCTATTTTAATTATCGTTAAAATCGATAGAACAATTAATTTAATGGACTAAAAATACATAATTAGCTACATTAAAAAACCTAGGAAAAAAAAAGCTGGTATACCCTTCGCTAATGGACTAACCATTATTCAAGTTCACCTTATCACGAAAAGTCTCATTAAGCGTACTAATCGAATATAACAAATTCTATCTTTCGCTCTTTGATTGAGAAAACCTCGCAGATATAGAGAAAAGATGGGGGAACCTCTACCTCAATTTCGGGCAAATTCGCGCCACAATCTCAAACCTTCTAAGAAAATGAATGATGAAACAAAGCTCTCCTGTCCTGAAGATAACTGTTAGTGTGTTAACTCAAGATTGTTTTAAAATTATTTAAAATTTTGAAATTAAAATAACAATAAGAAACAGTAAATAAGGTCTCAGATTACAGTGAAATTGTAAACCATACCAACGAACAGTTTAAAACATAAAAACTAAAGATAACAGTAAGACAGCTTTTAATCCACAGCATCCTCTGCAAAAGTAAAAATAAAAATGCTAAAACTTCATTAGATTACTCAATAATTAAATTACTGAATCACATAAAAAAATCGATGTGACTCGAAAGCAACATAATTGTATTCAAACTTGCAGAAAGAATAAAAACATTTAAAAAGAACTGCACAGCAAATTAACCAAACTCTTTGTCATATTACCAAATTAAACAAATACTGAGTTTTGAAAACATGCACACAAATTTTTAACCAAAATAATTGGCAATTTGTGAGAGACATAGATTTGATTGCAAGTATATTCATAAATAAAGCATGCTTACGATGAAATATATTCAACGATGCAGATTCTATCTTCACGAATTTGCAGTATTCGAATTCGGAATGAATGGTGTTCACATGAAACGGCATCCTTCAAATTTGTTATAAATTCGTCTTCAGTTTCCGCAGAATTCGAAACAGTTGATGAGACAAGCGAATTGAAAAGCATGCAAGGGATTGCCATTCCTGGATAGGTACGAGCGACATCAGACTAAAATGAGTACAAATCTTAGTAATAGTTTCCCTAGATCGATAAAAAGTTTTAATATTATTATTATATAGTGTAAGTATATAAACAATAAGTTCTGGAAATCATAACTTGTAGTCAATGCATTACAACCTACAGCGATGTGACTATAAGTCAGACATACTCCAACAGTGATATTCCAAAGTTTTCCAACAAAAAGTCGTTGATTAGCATTTATTAGTTACTTACACGAATGGATTACAAAGTAAACTACTAAAAATATCTGAAATATCTACCAGATTAAAAATCGACATTTGATCGTCTCTGTTCACTGTTTCATAATTGCCATAATCAACATAATGAACTTCAATGCCAATATTATTTATGTTTGTTATGACTGCTCGAAACAATGAATCAAATGTACGACAAAATGATACACATAAGGTACCCACTTGCTGAAAAATGCGGGACACTTCATATACAGGACCAGTTGTTATATGCAGTTTAGAATATCTCTTGATAATATCTAATTTCACATCCTTCAGCATGCTACGTAAAATGAACTAATTAGCGAAACAACAATTTTACATTTGGATATCATGGTGTCGTCAAAATAAATTGGATTTCCAAAATAAAAATAGAATAGAAGCAAACATCATGACCGAAATTGCAACTATTTTTATTTCTCACGAATTCATCTACTTATTGTCCCCAACCTATGCAAGTCATTAAAAGTGGTAAGTCACCATTTTCGAGCATTATCATGAATAAAATAGCACTTATAGGAAAGTTGTTAGCAATGGATCTAACAAAACCTAAAAACCCAATTAAATCTTCTAAAATTAATACACTATGAACCAATTACCAATTCTTCTTCACTAATTAAAGAAGTTGGTTGCAGTGAATCAAGTTGTTCTTCCAAAACATCAAGCAAATCATCATGCTGAATCTGTACGAAGAACAATGGTCAGTTCTCATTGTCATGATCATCATCACTTCTTTTCACTAATACTTCATCACCCTCACTCACTTTCACATACTCAAAGAAAGCCTGGAATGAGTGTGCCAAAAGTTTCGATGTTTTATTTTATAATGAAGATCGTGAAGTAAACTGAAGGAAAAAATGACTGTCAGTTGTTTTCAAGGCGATGAGTAATCCAACAAAAAGTGCAAAAGAAACAGTAAAACCTGATAAATTGGAGCACGTTTTCTCAACCGTATAAAAGAGGTTACTGGCTCATTCATGTCCAAAGCAATCTTCTTTTCTAATAAATTAGCAGTGACACTGGTCTGCAAATACTTGTCTACAAAAATATCTAGTAGTTTTGGAGTCTAGAGTTCCCCTATTACTTCAAATATAAGTGTAAACTAACTTTGTTCTCAACAACAATAACATCTTCATCACCATTATTGCTTGTGATAAGCGAGCATCTTGCCTCATCGTAGGAAATTTCGTCTGCTAATGATTCATCGGAAGTATACAACAATTTACCTTTACGGTTGCGGAGTTTCCGTACATAAAAGGTTCTGAAATTTTCTGAAAATTATGTGTACAACATATAAATAAAACGCAAAAGTAATGCACAGAAAGCATTGTTTCTGATGAATTATAAAAAAAACACTTTACATACTTTAATTCTACTAATTTAATAATTATAGCTATCATAAAGAAACTAATCTCTCTCTCTCTCTCTTGTTTCACTTCTTCGAAATGCACAGAACAATGAAAAGAAATATAAAATGAGAGTTACTACATTATAATATACAGTTCTTCTTTAAACTATAGCTGACGATTGGTAAAATTATGGACTGGTAAAATCTAGAAACCTTATTTGTGGATGGACCATCTTCGCGATACTCATTACGTTGGTATTTCGTAACCATGTTGGCACTGTTTTTCGATGGACATTTGCCCATTTGCATATGAGAATTGGTCCTTTTTATTTTTAACTTATTACCATTTAACTGTTTGTATCCAAACTTGTCATATTGATTTTGAATACGTCCAGCATACTCTGAAGTAAATTTGATGGTATTACAGCACTAGATTAACTTTTAAAGTCTCAGGTGTGTCCTTTAACACTTTCAGGTATGATAAAAAGAGATCATTACTACTCTCCTGGGGCCCACAGGCCTTAATATTACTGAGAATTATCCAGAAAAGCTAATCTACTGTCTCATTTTTGTGGTGAAATTATTTTACTTACCTCTATTTCGATTTTCATGGCCAAAAGGGTACTGCGGCGGCACGGCAACAGGATTACTGATATTAGAGAAGAAATTATATTTCTTGACTTTGCACACCGATCTGAATAAAGTCGCTTTATACTTTGCAAATTTCTTGACTGCCGCAGAACAGCTCTATAATTCTAATTTTCTTCAGTATAATCAAGTATCGTTATCATAGTAATCATAGTATCTAGTTTCGTTCAAACAAAGCAATCATATAGTATTCACTAAAAGTTAGCAAGGCATATAAATCAAAAACACATACCCAAAGGAAGTTGACTGTTTCCCATAATATGATGTGCTCTAAACTTCCTCAAGTTATTTCGATTTTTAATTGTGCTAATCCCATTTTGACGTATTCCCTTTAAAATTAAATCCTTACGTGTCATTAATACTCCAATTTCTAATACTCCACTTGTTGAACCGATAATTTCACTATAACTTATTACATTTTGATTCGTTGGGAAAAGTAAAACAGAGGGTCCCCTTATCACTAAAACGAGAAAGTGTTTCGTTCATTATAGAATAAAGCATGAAGAAAATTCCTTTAAAAGAGAAACCGTTATTGTTTCCACTCCTCCGTGCAAGTTGTAGCTAGATTCTGGAATTCCTGAACCACTCGATGGTCCAGCAAATCTGAAAGACTCTATTTTAATTATCGTTAAAATCGATAGAACAATTAATTTAATGGACTAAAAATACATAATTAGCTACATTAAAAACCTAGGAAAAAAAAGCTGGTATACCCTTCGCTAATGGACTAACCATTATTCAAGTTCACCTTATCACGAAAAGTCTCATTAAGCGTACTAATCGAATATAACAAATTCTATCTTTCGCTCTTTGATTGAGAAAACCTCGCAGATATAGAGAAAAGATGGGGGAACCTCTACCTCAATTTCGGGCAAATTCGCGCCACAATCTCAAACCTTCTAAGAAAATGAATGATGAAACAAAGCTCTCCTGTCCTGAAGATAACTGTTAGTGTGTTAACTCAAGATTGTTTTAAAATTATTTAAAATTTTGAAATTAAAATAACAATAAGAAACAGTAAATAAGGTCTCAGATTACAGTGAAATTGTAAACCATACCAACGAACAGTTTAAAACATAAAAACTAAAGATAACAGTAAGACAGCTTTTAATCCACAGCATCCTCTGCAAAAGTAAAAATAAAAATGCTAAAACTTCATTAGATTACTCAATAATTAAATTACTGAATCACATAAAAAAATCGATGTGACTCGAAAGCAACATAATTGTATTCAAACTTGCAGAAAGAATAAAAACATTTAAAAAGAACTGCACAGCAAATTAACCAAACTCTTTGTCATATTACCAAATTAAACAAATACTGAGTTTTGAAAACATGCACACAAATTTTTAACCAAAATAATTGGCAATTTGTGAGAGACATAGATTTGATTGCAAGTATATTCATAAATAAAGCATGCTTACGATGAAATATATTCAACGATGCAGATTCTATCTTCACGAATTTGCAGTATTCGAATTCGGAATGAATGGTGTTCACATGAAACGGCATCCTTCAAATTTGTTATAAATTCGTCTTCAGTTTCCGCAGAATTCGAAACAGTTGATGAGACAAGCGAATTGAAAAGCATGCAAGGGATTGCCATTCCTGGATAGGTACGAGCGACATCAGACTAAAATGAGTACAAATCTTAGTAATAGTTTCCCTAGATCGATAAAAAGTTTTAATATTATTATTATATAGTGTAAGTATATAAACAATAAGTTCTGGAAATCATAACTTGTAGTCAATGCATTACAACCTACAGCGATGTGACTATAAGTCAGACATACTCCAACAGTGATATTCCAAAGTTTTCCAACAAAAAGTCGTTGATTAGCATTTATTAGTTACTTACACGAATGGATTACAAAGTAAACTACTAAAAATATCTGAAATATCTACCAGATTAAAAATCGACATTTGATCGTCTCTGTTCACTGTTTCATAATTGCCATAATCAACATAATGAACTTCAATGCCAATATTATTTATGTTTGTTATGACTGCTCGAAACAATGAATCAAATGTACGACAAAATGATACACATAAGGTACCCACTTGCTGAAAAATGCGGGACACTTCATATACAGGACCAGTTGTTATATGCAGTTTAGAATATCTCTTGATAATATCTAATTTCACATCCTTCAGCATGCTACGTAAAATGAACTAATTAGCGAAACAACAATTTTACATTTGGATATCATGGTGTCGTCAAAATAAATTGGATTTCCAAAATAAAAATAGAATAGAAGCAAACATCATGACCGAAATTGCAACTATTTTTATTTCTCACGAATTCATCTACTTATTGTCCCCAACCTATGCAAGTCATTAAAAGTGGTAAGTCACCATTTTCGAGCATTATCATGAATAAAATAGCACTTATAGGAAAGTTGTTAGCAATGGATCTAACAAAACCTAAAAACCCAATTAAATCTTCTAAAATTAATACACTATGAACCAATTACCAATTCTTCTTCACTAATTAAAGAAGTTGGTTGCAGTGAATCAAGTTGTTCTTCCAAAACATCAAGCAAATCATCATGCTGAATCTGTACGAAGAACAATGGTCAGTTCTCATTGTCATGATCATCATCACTTCTTTTCACTAATACTTCATCACCCTCACTCACTTTCACATACTCAAAGAAAGCCTGGAATGAGTGTGCCAAAAGTTTCGATGTTTTATTTTATAATGAAGATCGTGAAGTAAACTGAAGGAAAAAATGACTGTCAGTTGTTTTCAAGGCGATGAGTAATCCAACAAAAAGTGCAAAAGAAACAGTAAAACCTGATAAATTGGAGCACGTTTTCTCAACCGTATAAAAGAGGTTACTGGCTCATTCATGTCCAAAGCAATCTTCTTTTCTAATAAATTAGCAGTGACACTGGTCTGCAAATACTTGTCTACAAAAATATCTAGTAGTTTTGGAGTCTAGAGTTCCCCTATTACTTCAAATATAAGTGTAAACTAACTTTGTTCTCAACAACAATAACATCTTCATCACCATTATTGCTTGTGATAAGCGAGCATCTTGCCTCATCGTAGGAAATTTCGTCTGCTAATGATTCATCGGAAGTATACAACAATTTACCTTTACGGTTGCGGAGTTTCCGTACATAAAAGGTTCTGAAATTTTCTGAAAATTATGTGTACAACATATAAATAAAACGCAAAAGTAATGCACAGAAAGCATTGTTTCTGATGAATTATAAAAAAAACACTTTACATACTTTAATTCTACTAATTTAATAATTATAGCTATCATAAAGAAACTAATCTCTCTCTCTCTCTTGTTTCACTTCTTCGAAATGCACAGAACAATGAAAAGAAATATAAAATGAGAGTTACTACATTATAATATACAGTTCTTCTTTAAACTATAGCTGACGATTGGTAAAATTATGGACTGGTAAAATCTAGAAACCTTATTTGTGGATGGACCATCTTCGCGATACTCATTACGTTGGTATTTCGTAACCATGTTGGCACTGTTTTTCGATGGACATTTGCCCATTTGCATATGAGAATTGGTCCTTTTTATTTTTAACTTATTACCATTTAACTGTTTGTATCCAAACTTGTCATATTGATTTTGAATACGTCCAGCATACTCTGAAGTAAATTTGATGGTATTACAGCACTAGATTAACTTTTAAAGTCTCAGGTGTGTCCTTTAACACTTTCAGGTATGATAAAAAGAGATCATTACTACTCTCCTGGGGCCCACAGGCCTTAATATTACTGAGAATTATCCAGAAAAGCTAATCTACTGTCTCATTTTTGTGGTGAAATTATTTTACTTACCTCTATTTCGATTTTCATGGCCAAAAGGGTACTGCGGCGGCACGGCAACAGGATTACTGATATTAGAGAAGAAATTATATTTCTTGACTTTGCACACCGATCTGAATAAAGTCGCTTTATACTTTGCAAATTTCTTGACTGCCGCAGAACAGCTCTATAATTCTAATTTTCTTCAGTATAATCAAGTATCGTTATCATAGTAATCATAGTATCTAGTTTCGTTCAAACAAAGCAATCATATAGTATTCACTAAAAGTTAGCAAGGCATATAAATCAAAAACACATACCCAAAGGAAGTTGACTGTTTCCCATAATATGATGTGCTCTAAACTTCCTCAAGTTATTTCGATTTTTAATTGTGCTAATCCCATTTTGACGTATTCCCTTTAAAATTAAATCCTTACGTGTCATTAATACTCCAATTTCTAATACTCCACTTGTTGAACCGATAATTTCACTATAACTTATTACATTTTGATTCGTTGGGAAAAGTAAAACAGAGGGTCCCCTTATCACTAAAACGAGAAAGTGTTTCGTTCATTATAGAATAAAGCATGAAGAAAAATTCCTTTAAAAGAGAAACCGTTATTGTTTCCACTCCTCCGTGCAAGTTGTAGCTAGATTCTGGAATTCCTGAACCACTCGATGGTCCAGCAAATCTGAAAGACTCTATTTTAATTATCGTTAAAATCGATAGAACAATTAATTTAATGGACTAAAAATACATAATTAGCTACATTAAAAAACCTAGGAAAAAAAAAGCTGGTATACCCTTCGCTAATGGAC